TTCTTTTTTCTTATGTGGTGCTGAGGAATCGAACCCAGGGCCTCAGGCATGCAAGGCAAGCGCTCTACCACTGAGCCACCTTCCCAGCCCCAAGCCCACCTTTTTCAATGTTGGTTATATTAAAAAAAAAAAAAAGCATAATCCCACCCCCTGCCCACTGTATTCTCAGTCTTCCTGGCTGTAGGCTTTCTGACCAGCACCTAATCGCCTGCACCACTGTTGTCTTCTGTAGCTTCCTGCTGAAAGAATAAGTAATTGCATTTTATACTTTACAGTCTAAGCACCACAGGTGGCTTACCTGGCTGACAGCTGATGGGCCTGCACAATTCTTCCGGTAACATGCCAATATATGGGCTGTCTGATTCACTAGGATTTCCCGGATCACCTTCAAAGGCTGATGTAGAACTGCTTTAAAAGCTATGTGCACACAACCGTGAACAAAAAAGGACATCAAAGTCTTAGAATCTGGTTTCTCCAAAGAGCAGAAAAGACAACTATTTATCTTAGATCACCTAACTAGGAGAGCGGCATTTGAGGGTGTTAAAGCTGTCTGCTGATGGCTGTCTCTCCACTCAGGCTGGTGACTTAGCCAATGGAGAACGATGGCTCCCTATAGCAAAATGCTTTCGATTGGCCTAGATTTGTCTTCAGAATATAAAAATCAGAATTCTCCATAAAAGCAAAGAGAAAGACCAGTTGGTCATTTTTTTTGACATGTGGAATTTTGATGGGCTGCTTGTGACATCTCACTGAGGCATTTCAGAAGGAAAGACAAAGAAAATACTACTGTGGGTACCCCCCACCCCATTTCTTAAGACTCATCAAGATACGGATGATCACACACAGTCAGGAGCCATGGACGGTCCATTTCCTCACCTGCCACAGGGCATTGTCACATACATAATAAAACCCTTCGCATCACCTTCCTACATTTTAACTCAGACTACCCACTAGAAAGGAAACTATAGTCTGTACTGAGTTGTCTCACTCATTAATTATTAGAGCTACTGTATCTATTGTCCTCCACTCCTGTTCTTTTTTCGTGTGTGCCAGTCCTGGGACTTGAACTCAGGACATGGGTGCTATCTGAGCTTTTTGCTCAAGGCTAGCACTCACTTGACCCACAGCTCTACTTATGGCTCTTTTTTTTTTTTAGTAGTTTAGTGAAGATAAGAGTCTCACAGACTTTCCTGCCTGGGCTGGCTTCAAGCCGTCATTGTCAGACCTCAGCCCACTGAGTAAGAGGATTATAGGCATGAGCCACCAGCACGCAGTTTAATAATTTAGCTACCAGAGAGCTGCACCATCATAGTATGTTTTTAGGTACTGCCTGCTAATAGCAGGTGTTGACTGAATTATGAAGCGAAGGTTTACAGAACGGCAGGGTTCCAGGGTGTTACCTGACTTGGCAAAGAAGTTGATGAGGGCATCTGTCTCACAGCTCTTGTACAGCTCAACTAGTTGGGAGCTGCACTTTAAGCCAAGGTTGTGAATCCGAAGTCGCCTTTGGCCACCGATGGTTGTGTAGAGCACGGCGCACTGCGGAAACAACATTGAGGCAAGGGCATTATGGTTCACATAGCCGGCACGCTAACTTGATTGCATCAACATTTGCAGAACAGTGTGCATAGATGAAAGATCTCTCAATTTTTCATGGGATCTTTTTCTATCCTCGTGAGCAACACCGATAAAAAGAGAACAAGGACCACACCTCATCTGCAGATTTCTTACGTGGCACTGGCGGGCTGTTCACACATAAACATCTGCTCGCATTTGCATAGCTGGCCTGTGTTTCACATTTCTCAGACCTCACTTACCACACTTTAGGTCAGGAACCAACACCTTCACAAATCACAGGCCTACTCAAGGCGCATCTCTCGTTAAGCACACAAATAGCTTTAATAATCTTTAACTTCATGCCAGCCTCTCTTCATTGTTCAAGTGTGATGTCTGAAAACTATGCCTTTTGATACTTTTTTTTCTTATTTTAATGGGAAAAAATCTCCATGGTTCCTAGTTAATCTTACAAAGCTAAATTTGATTTTACTTGCTTAAGATATGCTAATGTGCTCGACATGTTCTTATGGGCCAAACTGTGATACCCTCCAGATTTGTAAGATGACGTCCTACTCCCCAACACCTCAGACTAGCTGAATTTTTGTGACAGCACCTTTCAACAGGTAAATTAACTATAATAGAGCCCTATGGATGGGCCCCAATCCAATGTATTTGGTGTCTTTACTAGAGGAGGAACTTGAATAGTGGGGACACTACACAGACACAGAAAGACAGTGACAAACCAAGAGGAGAGGCCTAGAATAGAGTCATCCTGGATGGCCTTCAGAAGTCTTTTATTTTGAATTTCCAGCCTCTAGAACTTTGAGAAAATTCTTTTTGTGGTACTTTGTTACAGTGACATCAGCAGACTGATGCCCACCTGGCAGGAGTAAAAGAGTGCTTGCTAATGCTGACAATAGCCAGTGCCGCTGGAAACCCATTTGCTAATGTCATGATATGTCACACACGTTTACTGGGTTACCTTGCAGTGGCATAGTTGTGCTACATCACATTGCAATGACATATAACTGTTATGTCACATTTCAAAGACTCATGTATGGTATATCATATTTTACCATATATACATGCATAAGACTTGGAAGCCACATAATATGGTGCTCGAATGACTTTTTCATTTAAAGAAGGAGAGTTGAAGTGTGTGTGTGTGCGTGTGTGTGCATGCACGTGCGTACCACTACAGGGTTATGAACTCAAAACCTGGGAGCAGTCTCTTAGTTTTTTCACTTAAACCACTCTATACCACTTTAGCCACAGCTCTACTTCTGGCCTTTTGCTGGTTAACTGGAGATAAGAGTCTCACGGATTTTCTTGCCTAGGCTGGCTTTGAAGCTTAATCTTCAGATCTCACCTTCTGAATAGCTAGGATTGCAGGCATGAGCCACTGACACCCAGCTGAGAGTTAAAACTTATTATTAAACAATTACTTACTTACTTTATTGTTACTATAAAAGTGATGTACAGAGAGAGGATGACAATGACATGAATCAGGTAATGAGTACAATTCCTTTTGTATAAGTCTTTGCTTCCCTTAATCTCTCCCATTAAATTTTTTTTAATGAAGAATCTAGCACCTTTGTTCACATGGCTTTTGTCCCCAGGCCCCGCCCATCTGTGCCCATCACAAGCTGGGACTAAACATGAAATCACCTGGATTAAGGCCCCAGTGTCCTCGCTGAGCTTGTCATCGTGCTTGAACTCCACAGTCACTGCCTTGTCACAGTCCATGGCCGCCATCTCTACGTCAGTCGTGTTGTTCATAAAAATTGCACCAAAAAAATCAGTGGCTCTGAAACCTACCAACAAAAGCAAAGGGTCCTCTGACTGTTTTAACTGTCTTTTTATTTAATTTGAAAACAATGATTCAAATGAGAACTGAAAATGGCAGAAGTGAAGGTTACCTGTGCTGGTGCGAACTCGCATGATGGCATCAAAGCCTATCTTCTTTTCAATGTCGTTTCTGAGGTCCTTCAGAAATTGTTGGCTGTCCAAATGCATCTATGAAAGAATGAGCCATCAGAGACCACCAGAGGGCAGCAAAATACTTCAAATAACTGTGTGTGTGTGTATGTGTGTGTGTGTGTTTAAACCTGATTTAAAATAGTTCTTATTTTTCATCCTAATTCAGTATATTTATATGCGTAGCTAAAGAAACATACACAAACTATACATATGATCTTTGGACAATGACTCTTTAAGTTTCCAAATGAAACCTCTGCTATATTTCATCTTTGTAACATTTGGGAGGGGAAAACCAATCAATCATTTCAATTTTCCAATGTGAAAATCGAATAAATGATCTACTGGAGGGTCTAGTGTGAGGGACAAGGTTAACACCTAAATTAATGAGGCTGGGGTTCTTTTGTGCCACCATGAACTGAGCTCGGTGAAGTTAAGTCAGGGGGTATTCCATACACAACATGAGTAGAAACCCTCCTATGAGTCTTTTTTTGGAGGGGGTGAGGCTAGGGATCAGTACTGGAGATTGCTTGGCAAGTGCTTTACCACTGGAGCTCACAGCAGCACTTCCACACTGATTTTGTTTTTAAGCTAGGGTCTTGCTAACTTTGCCTGGGCAGGATGCTCCTGCCTCCATCTCCTGAGTAGCTGAGGCTACAGGTGTTCACCATCATGCCTGGCCATTGGCCTGCTTTTCTTAACTACTTTTGTATCAGTTTACTTCTGAAAGCTATTCTCCACAGGCAACAACAGTGCAATATGCACATGTGCGCAGGACTGAGCGAGCGGAGAGCTCACTTGGGAGAGTAAACAAATAAGCTGAGTGCCAGGCTTGCAGGGCAGCCCCTTGGCCAGTCAGGGAAGCTCTGTAAGTTCTCACCTACAGGTGATAGGCATGGGAGAGGCACACAACTCCCTCTCCAGCTCCCCAAACCCCAACAGGAAGCAATCCCAGTCTTTATACAGACTCACTTCTATCTTGTAATATCACTGGATGGGAGATTAAAGCTATTAAATCTTTTACTTTGTATCTAAGAAATATGCCAGAATATGATTTCCTTCTCCAACAATGCACAATAAATGCAAATAAGTGAGAGTAGCATAGCCCAAATTAGCACTCTTAATTCTCATCAATTACAAAGTAACTTTCCCCTTGTTTGTGTTTTAGAGAGCCTTCTTCTATAGGATTACGAGAACATTATCCTTTATAGTAACATTGGTGGAATCAATGATCATTACTGCTACAGAGCATGAGTAAATACCCTTCATTATTTCAGCGCTTACTCAGGATTAGTGCCTGATTCCATAATGTAAAGAAGCAGGAAGAAGACGGTGAGCCTTGAGGGTCCCACCACAGAGTCCCCACTGCCTCTGCTTCACTCGGTCCCATGTTCTATGGGGCTGGTGTTTTAGGGAACACACAACAGCACCCAGCTTGGAACCCTGGCACTGCTCAGATAGTCTAGGACATCATTAAGAAATACAAGATGCTAGGAGATGGTGGCTCATGACTGTAATCCTAGTCACTCCAAAGGCTGAAGTCTGGAGGATTGTCATTTAAAGTCAGTATAGAAAGAAAAATCCAGGAAACTTTATCTCCAAAAAGAAAGCCAGGCTAAAGGCTCCGTGGCGCCTGTCTAGTAAGCATGAGGCTCTAAGTGCAAACCCTGTTATTGCCCCTCAAAACTTAAATATACACCATTTCTCTGTGTCCTCAAACTTACCTTTGTCAATTTTGGCTACAAAGGAGGGGAGCTTTCTTAAACTATAAGCATCAAAACCAACATGGGAGAAGACTAAGGTGGACAAATAGCTGCCATTTACCTGGAAATGATTGTATTTGTAGATGGTTCCTCCAGTGAGCTGAGGAACAACACCCAAGGAGGCCACATCCACGTACTGGCTAGGGAAGAGGAAGAGCGCCACGGAGCAGCCGTGGGATACACAGTCCTTGGCCAGAGACTCATACACATTCGTCTGGGGCTGGAAGAGTAGCTGGAGGCACAAGACCCAAGAAAGCCCAAACCAAATTAGTTTCAATTTAAAGTTAAGTTTCAACTGAACTCTTCAAGGAGTTGTAAAATGTGAGGGAAAATATATATATATATATATATATATATATATATATATACACATATAGGTTCTTTTCCAGTTAACTGAACTGGGCTAAAGAAACAGTTGTATGATCTTCAATTTCACTTGATTCTCCTCCATTGGACCCTGGGGGCCAGCTAGCATTGCTGTCCCAGTTTGGAACTGCAGGGGTGCTCATGTGAGGTTATGTGGTCAACTATTGGATGCTTTTATCCATGGCCTTACTGTTCCCACAGGCTTCACACCCCCCCCCCCCCCCGCCCCCCACTGCTTCCTGTGTCTCCTCACAGATCCTACATGGGGGAAAAAAAAAAGTCTGGGCTCGGATTTCATTTTAGATATTGTGGATAGACACCACCAGGGTTTGTACTCCAAACATTCCTACAACATATACAGTAGACTTAGCTCCTCCTCTTTCTTAAGCACGGGACACATTGGCCCCGCCTCCCGCCATAGAACACCTCTGCTCACACAGTACCTTCTCTTTGTCTGTGTTAACCAGCTTTTTGTCATCTCTGTTTTTCAGCTTCCCTGGAGCATCAGCGGTTGGCAAGGAGGAATGGAAGATGAACAGCTTCCCGGGACATTCTGCTGCCTAAAACAACAGTAAAGAATTAGAGAACATGTTTACATAGAAAGGGGTTTTTCGTTTTGTTTTTGTTCTGGTCTTCTTGAACTCAAGAGCCTGGGTACTGTCTCTGAGCTTTTGTGTTCAAGCTTTTGTGCTCTATCATTTGAGGCACATCTGCACTTCAGGCTTTTCTGGCAGTTAATTGGAAATAAGTTTCACTGACTTTCCTTCCTGGGCTGGCTTTAAACTGTGATCTTCAGATCTCAGCCTCCTGAGTAGCTAGGATTATAGGCATGAGCCACTGGGACTCAGCAGGAAGGTTCTAAGAGAATCAGAAATATATTAAAGTATTTAAGTTCTTTCTATGAGCCAAATACTACAGCCACCTAAGTGAATAATAACCTTGGGCAGGATCTTTTCTCTCCAGTAGACAGACTGGTAAACTCAGGCTTAGCTAGGATAAGCCAACAGTTATAAAAGTGGCATGGAAGAACCAATATTTAAATGTAGATCTAGAGGACACAGCTTTATAGTGCTAGCAGAGTGAAATGGCACAGGGAAAGCTTGCACTTGTTTAGTCAATGGTAGAGTCTTTCAAGAGGGAATAAATCCCAGAATGCCAGAGTACATGACAGGATCTCCAGGATGTGTCATCCCAGGACATCAGACCTCCAGTGCATACACATGACAATGAAGCCATATTTGATGGAAGGAGGCACAAAGCATATGGTGGTGGTAAGGCCACTGAGGACACAGGGCACCGGCTTCCAGGCATGACAAGGGAAGAACACTTCCTCCAATGGGCAAGGTCACAGGTTTGATCCCCAGAATCACAAGGACAAAGAAAGATTCAGACTCTATGAAAGACAACCCAGCATTAAAAATATTTAAAAGCATACATAAGGAGCTAAAAAATTTCCAATGACAAAATGCATTGAAATGAAATATAATGCACTATATTGGCCCACACCCTTACATTGCCATCTCTAAACCACACTGCACAGGGCTGCCAGGGCAGCTGCCAGGGTAGAGTGGGTCATAGCTGACGTGCAGGCCTGTGCAGGCCGTCTGGGCTTGGCTGAGCTAGTGGTGAAAAAGGATGTGAGTTGTGATCTTGTTGTCTATGTTGTGCACTGAAAGTCCCACAAAGAGATGGCATTAGGAAGAAAGGAGGCAAGGGAAGAAGAGTCGTAGCTAGGAAGCTAAGTTGAATATGTCAAAAATATTAAAATCCTAGGACTATAACTTAGAATCTGTCACGTTTATTACTATGAAAACACCATTTAAAGCATTCCAATAAGCCAGGCATGGTGGCACATGCCTGCCATTGTAGCAATGGGCAGGCTGAAGAAAAGCCAGCCTGGGCTATACAATGACACCTTGCCTCCAAAACAAAACAAAACAACAACAACAACAAAATGGACACATTTTTATCTTGAGGAGATGAATGACATTGGGACAGATGAAGAATGGTGGAGGACTGACATTGAGCCATATGCCTTGTACTCATAAACTGACACATTGAATTGTGACTTCTTTTGTACAATAGCTAAAGATTTAAAAAAAAAACACACGCATCTAAAAGTAATAGAAAAATTAAGTATTTAATTGAAATCCAATTTTTCATCAAGGCCCCCACACAAATTCACTACCCTTAATTTTGTGACAATACAGAATGCCTCCAAGAAAGCAAATGTGCCCCAAAAAGGAAGTAAGGTTAATGTATGTAACTGAAGTGATCAAATGAGAAACTGAGATTTCCTGGTAAGCCACATGTCTTCAGTGGGAGCTGGGTGGCAATATGGGAAGAACAATCAAGCATATGCAGTACTGTACATCTACTACACATGTGATTTAGACATTGGCAGCAGCTATTTATGCCTTATGAATGACAAGCATTTAATCATAATAATAGTAATAATAATCGTAATAATCCTAGTTACTCAAGAGACTGAGTGAGATCTGAAGACTATGGTTTAGAATCAGCCTAGGCAGACAAATCTGCAAAACTCTTATCTCAACAAGTAAAAAGTAAGTACAAGGCCCAAAGTTCAAACTGCAGTTTCTCCAAACAATATCTAAATAAAAGTCTCAGGAAGAGTTGCTGTACTAGAATTACACTATAAATTTAGACATGAAACTTATGCACAATTTTGTTCTGTTATTGCTGATACTTGTATCAGTGTATTATGACTAGTCATTTTAGTTTAAAAGTAAGTCTTGGGCTGGGAAGGTGGCTCAGTGGTAGAGCGCTTGCCTTGCATGCCTGAGGCCCTGGGTTCGATTCCTCAGTACCACATTGCAGAAAGAAAAAAGCCGGAAGTGGCGCTGTGGCTCAAGTGGTAGAGTGCTAACCTTGAGCTGAAGAAATGAGGGACAGTACCCAGGCCCAGAGTTCAGGCCCCATGACCGAACCCCCCCCAAAAAAAGTAAGTCTAAAAAACAAGCACATTTAAAACTAATTTTGAGAATCAGCTCTCAGAGCCAGAGAGATTTACTTCCATGCTAAGGTAATCGTCACTTAGAGCAGGTGCCTCCAAGGCATTTGTCTTTAGTTTGCTGTCTGGATTACTGACCCAGAGTTGTTTGGGTTCAGCTTCCTGACTGCACATTTGGCCAATCTTTGGTAGCCAGAGAGGCTCCGAGTGGCATGTGCATCCTGTCATTGGCCATCCCAAGGCCTGCCCCTCACTTATTTCAAAGTCCCAAGGAAGAGGAGGGCAATCTGGGAATTGAACTCTTCACATCAGTGATCCAGCTATTGCTGAACTGATCTGAAAATAGATCACATCAAGGTCATCTAAAAGCAGAAGGGAGGAGCTAAGCTGGAAATCCTGCCATGCTGGAATGTAAGCACCGGAAGCAGTGGTGTCTTGGCTGTTTCCTTCCGCAGGCTGTTGGGGAGTTTTCAGTAGCCTCTAGCAGTCTGCAAGCTTTGGTGAAGAGGTACGAAACTTTCTCTTTTGTCTGGTTTTTCTTTTCTTTCTTTTTTTGTGTGTCAATACTGAGTCCTGAACTCAGGATCTGGGTGCTGTCCCTTAGCTTTTTCACTCAAGGCTAGCACTCTACCACCTGAGACACAGCTCTACTTCTGGCTTTCTTGGAGGTTATTTGGAGATAAGACACTCACAGACTTTTCTGCCCCAGCTGGTAGACACCAGGATCCTCAGACCTCAGCCTCCTGAATAGCCAGGATTACAGGCATGAACCACTGGCAACAGGCTCTGTTTCACTGTTTTGAAAATGTATTTGATAGCTTGAACAAATGGCTTCTCACCTTCAGAGCTTCCATGCCAGCCTGGATGACAGGAGCAAAGACGGTCTCATTTTCATTGGAGTCCGCAAACATCTCTGGAATTTGGTCCAATAAACTATAGGAAGTAAAGGAGTGGTTTTAAATGATGGCCATAAATTTCAAAAAAATTAATAAATCACTAACATTTCAAGCTAAAAGACTCATGGTATTTTATGTAGGACACCCAAGACAGAGTTTTACCTACTGGGAAAGTAAGTAAACTGATAAAGATATTCCTTAGGAAATGATGCCCTACTGTGGTTTGTGCCAAACCTAAGATTTGGCTGGAACACATTTACTCAATCATACTTTTTGTACATATATTCATTACTCCTCTCATACACCCTAAATTCTTGAACCTGTGGCTGCATCTTTAATTGCATCACTATGTCCATTCACAGGCAGAAAGTACCTTCCTAGCCAAAAAATTCACAAGGTTGAAAGTGAGTATAATATAGTGGAATTCAATTCATCCACTGGAAGAATATTATCTTATTTGCAAGTGGAAAGTCTGGAATTATGTTAAGTGAAGTCATGCTCAGAGAGACAAAGAATGTATATTTTCTGTCATATATGGAAGTTGGATCTAAACTATAAATATAAATGAAACCACGTACAGAATCAGATGCATATATACACAAACAAACTGGCTAAAGTATGGCATATGCAGGGGAAGATTCCAATGTTGTAACTCCCATGAACAACAAAAATAAATACAAGGAAACTGAACCCGTGTTGTCAGAAGGGGAAGAGGTCTGGGGGAGGGAGCAGACGAGTCAGGAGAGAAGAAGGATGGGAGAATACAGTCACAATATTCAATGTACACATGCCGAGATGGAACTTGGGAACTTGAGCGGGGTGGGGCTGGGAGAGATAGAACAATGGAAGGTGCGATATAGATCAAGACGCATTATTCTCATAATCTGACGCGCTCAAATGAAACCCGTTTGTACAATTACTTAAACATACCAATAAATACATTTTTAAAAACAAAGTGAGTACTAAAATTCTTCCTTCTAAATATATTAAAAAGAAATAGGCCTAACAGAAATGATAGTGTTTTACAAACCATGTCACAAAGCCCCCCTTGCGTATGACGAAATAAAACACTGTATAATGGAATTAAAACAAAATGCAATTAGAAACAGATGTCCAGTTGCAGTTAAATGACCAAACGCTTGCTATTTACTTGTGAATCACAGATTGGGATTCTTGGTAGTTGACAAGGAAGCCATCCAACAAAGGAACGAAGACTTCTCCCACGTCAGTTACCACCATCATCTGTGGCTGGGCCAAATTACTCTTCACGTTGAAGAAATGCAGAACTTTGTTATAGGTGATAAAACCAACTCGAATGGCAGATGTTTCTTCCTGCTCTTCCCTGTGAGAAAAATAAGTGTTTACAGTCTTTTTTAAATCAGTCTAGAACAGCATAGTTTTCTTTATGAAAGTTTGTCTTTATGAAATTAGAAAGAAGAAGTTCTAGTTGTCATTTCTGTTACAAGAAAAAACAATACTGAAGCTGAGTGCTGGCGACTCATACCTGTAATCCTAGCTACTCAGGAGGTTAAGATCTGAGGACTGAGGGCTGAAGCCAACCTGGGCAGACAAATCCACTAGAGTCTCTAGTTACCGACACTTTTATTTCCTCTTGCGCTGTCCCTAATACTGAGACTCGTTTCCAGTGAAAACCATACAATATGCACACCATTTTTAATGTTTAGGTATAAGTTTTTTAAAAAAGAAGACCTTATTTTGCTTAGGAGATATAGTTTTTTTAAAGAAGAGCCTGGTTTGCTCCATTTCTACAAAGCAAAAAGAGCTTAAACCCAGGAAAAAGAAAAATGGAAGTATAATAGTAAGGTGTTATCTTAACCTGTCTCCGTTTCTTTGATGCTTCAGCAGGCTGACCAGTACTGGTTCTTTAATTGTTTCCTTTCTTCATTGTGGTCTTGAAAACTGGGTTGACAGTTAAAAAATTCTCATAATCACGAAGCACCAGTAACTCATACCTGTAATCGTAGCTACTCAGGAGCTAAGATCTGAGTACTGAAAGCCAGTCTGTGCAGACAAATCTACATGATTCTTTATCTATAATTAACTAGTAAAAAAGTGGAACTGGAGACCTAGCTCAAGTGGTACAGCTCCAAACCCGAGCTCCAAAGCAGAGTAAACACAAGCCCTGAGTTCAAACCCCAATACCAGAAAAAAATCCCAACTCCTTCTAAAAGCACTTGGTAAATGCTTATGTTCTGGACCCTTATAAAGGTTTTTGGCAGAGAAAACCTGGTCTTTTGACTACCCCCGCCCCCCCTGTCCCCCAACACCTCAGTATCCTTAGCTGTGTGACTGACTACTCACATCTACCCTTGAACTGTACCATGCCATGCTGTATCACTCTGCTTTTGGGCTGTCCCTCTCCTCTCCATTGTTAGACTCACGTATAAATCCTTCCTCTCTGAAACTTCCCTGCATACACCAATCAGAAGTCATCTCTTCTAAACTCCCATAAATCATCTTCACTAGGCTTGAGGTCTATGATAGCTTTAACAGCCAGCAGTTAATAAAGAGCGCTGCACAAGGCCTCTGTCCTGGGCCTCACAGGACCTCCCTGCTCCAGTGCGGAGAGCTGGAGGTTTGACTGAGGATGTTTACAGAATAGGGAAATGCTGGCTGGGATAGCAAGTCACAGCCCTCAATAAGTCAAGACGAAGCAACTCTGGTTGCGTGCCACCACCTTGATAGCTTAAGGTCAGCCAGTTCTAAGTACTTACCCCGCAGAATGAACAGATACTACAAACCAGGGCTTGATTGCCAGCAAACTGCTGGTTAAGTTTCTAGCCTCCCATCAACCTCATCACATAAGGAGAAATATCTGACAAATTATGATATATTATTCTCATTTCTTGGTTATTTTGGAGTCAACTAAGGCAAGAGACACAAAAGAAAAACTATAGAGCATGGTGTTCATTGCCATTTCCCAGTGAATCTGGGCAGACTGAAGTGGTGGGGAAGGAGCAGCATGGGATTGGCGGGATTCACTAAGAACCTAAATTAACATTTTTGTAAAGCACCTAATCAGAATGTTTCATATTACTGCAAAAATATTATTATCGTCTCCATGCGAACATTTTTTTGAGAAACAAAAAAAAAACCATCCTAAAAAAAGTTCTTCAACATTATAGCTACCTCATTAAGTTATATTCAGAAGAAAACTAATTCTCAGTCTCTCTTTTGTATTAACTTTTTAATCAGCTGTGTGAAGTTATATCATGGATAGCATGAAGTCTGACTCAGGTTGCTCTTTCATTTTTCAGTGACCACTATCTTCAACACTCCTCCTATCATTTTAATAAAACAAATCAGACAGAACAGCATGGAAGATATACAAATAGAGAACCAGAAAAATCCCCAAATCATGTACTGAAAACAAACAGGTGAATAAAAATTCAACCTAGAAATCCGATTTGAACAACAGGGGACACATTTCAAGGTTTGTCTTTCTTGGAACATGAAAGTCAGAAAAGTCTGGAAACTTTTCAAGGTCAAAGACACAAATTCAAAGTTGACTGGAAAGGACAGACTCCCTTTTCTTTTCAAAGGCTTAGCTCAGAGATAACCACACCCTTGGCTATGAATCCAGATTTAAGGCTGTGATTTAAAAAGGCTATTCAGTGTGTTTTTCCCACTTTAGTACAAAGAAGCAAATCAAAGTGACAAGGCAATCTTACCATGGAAATAAAGCTTCATAAACACACAGCTCCACAAGTTTTGTTTTAAAAGATAAAAAAGGGAAAGGAAGTAGTTGCCTGGAGGGGGCGGGGAGGGGGAAGAAGTGCTATACTTCTAAGACAGATTTGCATAAGGCCAGAAATAACTAGTGGTACCTTTTTTTTTTTTTTTGGTCTGGTCGTGGGGCCTGAACTCTGGGTCTGGGCGCTGTCCCTCAGCTCTTCAGCTCAAGGCTAGCGCTCTACCACTTGAGCCACAGAGCCACTTCCGGCTTTTTTCTTTTGCCTAAGGGGTGCTGAGGAATCGAACCCAGGGCCTCAAGCATGCAAGGCAAGTGCTCTACCACTGAGCCACCTTCCCAGCCCAACTAGTGGTACCTTTTATTTTAACTCCCATCTTTTGCCAAAGCCACATCCCCACTTTAATGGGACATACTTCTGGTGACACAGTATGATTTGTTATCTTATATCATACCACCATTGTCTTGGTAAGAAAAAAGAGTTAGTGGAGTAACAGGTCTATGAAAACAGGGTACATACACTGCATTGCTGTCAGTTTCAGACAACAGAGAGACCATTTTCAGAAACTTAAGTAGTTTTCTTTCACATTAGATGTAAAACAATCCTGTTAAGAGTGGGCCACTGGTGGCTCACACCTTTAATCTTGGCTACTCAGAAGACTGAGAACTCAGGGTCAAGATTCAAAAGCCAGCCTAGAGCAGGAAAGACTATGGGACTCTTATCTCCAATTAACTAGCAAAAAGTCAGAAGTGGAGCAGTGGTTCAAGTGGTAAAGCACTAGCATGGAGCAGAAAAAGCTAAGGGACAGTGCCCAGTCCTTGAGTTCAAGCCCCAGTACAGACACCAAGCCAAAACAAACCAACAAAAACCCTGTTAGAGATCTCCTTGCTAACATATGCCGTATTCTGCAGAAAATCAATCCACACTTCTCAAGTTTCCCTAAGAATGGGTTAAGAGAAAGTCCAGTCACTACATCTGCAGGCCAGGGGGCCTTCCTTACGCTATGACCTTCCACTTGCTCCCAGATCAATCCTCATCTGGATTCAGTTTGAAATCACCTCAGTGTTTCTCAAACATCCCCACTGCTTTTCCAAACCATCCTGCAGAATATTATGTCTTCAGCTTCACAGATACAAACAAAGCCACTTCTGGGAGGTCCTGCGTCACCTTGGCAGAGCCTCATGTGGCCCCAAACACTGCCTTAGGTAGAACGAGCAAAGAGGGACAAGGCATCCAATGTCAAGTAGGAAAGATGGCAGGACTGATGGCCTTTCCCTGATCCCTGATCTCCTTGCCGGATGCTTGCTCTGCCCTAAACAACAAACTGCTACACTAAGACATGTAAAACTAGCCAGTAGAGGAGGCAAGACAAAAAAGAAAGGATTCCTTTAGCTATTCCCAGCTACTCTTCAAATCTTTCTTAACATCTTTATTTAATCCCTTCCTTCATTTTCCAGATCTGGTTCTTTTTCTCCATAAAATTTATTTGGGCCTGTTTATGTGTAGCATTTTCTATTTTCTTTTTTTTTTTTTGGTCGGTCGTGGGGCTTGAACTCTGCGCCTGGGCGCTGTCCCTCAGCTCTTCAGCTCAAGGCGAGCACTCTACCACTTGAGCTACAGCGCCACTTCCGGTTTCCTGGTGGTTTATTGGAGATAGGAGTCTCACGGTCTCTCCTGCCCGGGCTGGCTTTGAACCGCGATCCTCAGATCTCAGCCTCCTGAGTAGCTAGGATTACAGGCCTGAGCCACCAGCGGCCGGCAACGTTTTCTATTTTCTTATGGTAAGATTGCCATCAGTTTTATTTACATGTTTGTGATAAACCACGTACCATGCTACTTCAAGAAATGTGAAGTTCATTAACACCTAGGATGATGTTCACCTGCTAGTTACTGCTCACCCTTGCCCTGCAGCAATGGGCAAATAGAGGGATGCATCTGCCACCACTGTGGAGTTCAAGGGTGGCCAGGCAGTAGAGTGAGCCAGCGTACTGGCTAAAAAGATAACAGCTCGGCCTTAAGAGAGATGTCCAGTTTTCTAACACTTTTAGAACAGTTAGTCACTTCTAGAAACTTGCAGTTCCCACTAGAAAGCCACTTATCTAAAAATGAGGGGGAGGGAATCTTCCAGACTTGCCCTTCTACTGTTTGGATTCTTATAACTTACATATTTTGAAAGTTTTTCCTCTAGCACTATTAGTAATTTTTTGTTAGCCAGCATGACTCTTTTGCTTGATACAAATGAGCACTCTGACTGTGTAAAGCCTTAAAAGAATTGTGCTGTTTGATTTGTTAACTGACTGCTCAATGTTCTCATTAGTAAAAAATGCCCACTGGCCACTCAGCATTTGTTTCCTGGACAATGTATTCATTCAGCAATGGAAGCTAAAGAAAGAATGGTGGTTCTCTTACTTTGGGAGCTTTTCCAACAGGGTCTTCAGTTCTTCACATATGAGCTTGACAAGTCCGTTCTTTATGTTACTATACGAAACATCAATCATGAAGATGAAGGCTGGTGGGTTGGGAGGTTTATTCTTCTACAGGAGAACAAACAACATCACACAAATGGATAGAAAGTAAGTATACTTAAGAATTGAATTTAAATACTAGAAACTCTTCAAGTTGATCAGACACTTCACGTAAGATGTAGGGCTTAACATCTAGGAATCAAGTAACTGTCTAAAACAGTTTCTGATGCCATAAAAAAGATAAAAGAAAAATTTTCAGGGTGTGACTAGAACTAGGCAGTATTATCTAACAGAGAAAGTTCACTTTTCCAGGGCTCAAGGACCCACTATTAAAGTTAGTGAAGGGAAGGTACAGTATTGCGGTCAGCCCTGCCATAACACCATCTTCCAGGATAAAGCCCTAAAGTCTTGTGCCAAAAAGCAGTTATATAATATATAAGCACATATATATTATATATAATACGCAATATGTTATATATAACACAACATATTATATATGATATATAATAAACACTAGTATATGTAACAAATATAACAAAGACTAGTCTATATAAGTACTAATATATATTAGTATTTATATTGGAAACTGCAATAAAATTTCACTAACGCGGATATTGTTTTCAAACCTCTTCTTTTATGTCTTTCCATTTAGAGATATGAAATTATATGAGAACATGTAACTGCATATTTTAAAAATGGAGCCATATTGTTAAATACTTACCTGATTTATTGCATATTTACAGTAAGAATGGCCTTTTCTCTGTGTGTTTATTAAAACAACCACTCTGACATAACGCAGCTGCTGTAACAATGGTTTCTAACTGCCGGTCTCTATTTTGGCTGGTGTTCAAAGAGCACTTAGGGAAACGATCTTTCAGTTGGGACTTGCAAAATATTTAGAAAAGATGGCTATAGAAGAGTAACATTAGTGAGCCACACTAGAGAATAAAAGATTAAGACCGAGTACATTTTTAACTTGGTAATCAATTTTAAAATGTTCTAAAATAAAATTTGACGTTAGTTACTATATAATACTATATAATTTTTTTTGGTGCCAGTCCTGGGCCTTGAACTCAGGGCCTGGGCACTGTTGCTGAGCATTTTTGCTCTACCACTTGAGCCACAGCTCTACTCCCTAAAATACTTCATTTCAAGTAAAAAAGCTGTAAGGCTTAAAGATTATCAACCTGTAAATACCCAAAATAGACTGGCATCCTCTGCTTCTAATATATTTCTCTGTGTGTGTGGATAGGGGCTTGAACTTATGGCTTCAAGCTCTTCCTTGGCTTTTTCCATTCACACCTAGCACTCTACCACTTGAGGCAAACCTCCACTTCTAGCTTTTTGCTGGTTAGCTGGATATAAGAATCTCAAGGAATTTTCTCCCTGGCCTGGCTTCAAACCATGATCCACAGATCTCAGCTTCCTGAGTAGCTAGGATTCCAGGTGGGAGTCACAGTACCTGACCAACCTATTTCATAATATCGATTATATTGATTTATATTAGATGGAAATAATTATCCTTGTTAATTAAACCAAAAACTCTTTGCAACAAACTCAAACATGTCTTACTATGTTTGTAGTCTCTCCTAAATTCAGCATGACCAATTCCCCAGTAAATAATTTTCATAGCTCCAGCCTGTGTATCTCTGGACATCACTTCACTGTAACTTGTTTCCTATGTGTACAATTATTCCATCATTCCTCTAAATCACATTATCTTCCAGTTTCTCTGTGCATATCATACCATCATATAGGACAACTAAAAGGCTCCATTACCTGAAATTAGATTGGTCAGTTCCTTTTTCCCCCATCACTGAGCTCCAATCCCTTTTCTTTAAAAATGATTCTTTTGCCAGGTGCCATGGTTCATGCCTATAATCCTAGCTACTCAGGAGGCTGAGATCTGGGAAACATGGTTCAAAGCCAGCCAGGCAGTTAAGTCTATGAACCTCTTATCTCCAATTAAGCACCAAAAAGCCAGACGTGGAGCTGTGGCTCAATTGGCAGAGGGCTAGCCTTGAACACCAAAGCTCAGGGACAGTGCCCAGGCTCTGAGTTCAAGCCCTAGGACTAGCATAAAAATAATAATAAATAAAAATATTATTCTGTTATGTGTCATCCCACCCCTACTCTTAGCCTTTTAAATGTTTATCACGCTGTGCCCAAATAACTGGAAAGCCTTCAACCACTGGCTTCCTCCATCCATCCCTGACTTGCTAGTAGTAACTGTAATGTAACTGTACTATGAAACTTCAGGTTTCCATGTCACTCTATTACAATCTGAAAGACCAGTATTTCTTTACAGGAAATGCATGTACAATGGGAGAGACTCCTTTTCTTGGAGCTGTGCTATAGTTAATTAGAATTCTGGTCTGAAGCTCAGAAGAGAAAATCACCATGAGTATTTGAAGAGTCCCTGGTCCCAAGAACTGGTACCCATAGGGAGAGAGAGAGAAGATGATATCCCATTGAGAGACTCAGTTACAAAAGGCAGAGAAGAAACAATGTCGGTAGGCCCTGGCAACCAAGAGCGTGACAGCTGGAAAAAGATGGGTCAGGCTGGGTGCTAGTGACTCACAGCTGTAATCATCCTAGCTACTCAGGAGGCTGAGATCTGAGAATCACAGTACAAAGCCAGACTGGGCAGGAAAGTCCATGAGACTCTTCTCTCCACTTAACCACCTAAAAGCTGGAAGTGGAGCTGTGGGTCCAGTTGTAGCATGTCAGCCTTCAGCAAAAAAGTGTGGACAGTGCCAAGGCCCCGAGTTCAAGCCCCTGTAGTGGCACACACACACAAAAAAACAAAGAAGAAGAAAAGAACAGCAATACATTGCCAGTGGAAAATCAAAAAGTAGACTGTTTGGAAAACTTTCCCTCAATTTACTTCTCATTATTCCACAATAAACATTCTCCCACTTAAGTGTAAATCAAAGCCATCTAGGGCCAAAAGCCTGAAAAGTAACTAAAGCAAAAGGGCCTGGGGTTGGGTTCAAGTGGTACCACATTTGTCTAGCAAACACAGGCCTTGAGTTCAAATTCTAGTACTGCAAAAATAACCAAAGTTAAGATCAACTAAAATGGACAGAGGAAAACATGAGTTTTATTATCTTCCTTTCAGTGTGTATAACAGTGTTAAAAAATACAAATATGAATTTCCACTATCCAAATCCCTAAGCTAACCTCATTTGCATTTTAAATTGTAAGTAAATTTGAAGGTGTTTATAGCCTTATTCATGATAAACTCTGCTTGGAAAATGATAAGGAAGGTTTAGCTTACTAAAGCCTCTTGTTTGGTTCTATCCATGCTGGGTGTGATTTTTCCATCTATCACACTTCTGGAATATTTTCATAAAACAGAATTTGAAGATACTAAGATTTTTGTTCCAAGAAATAGACTTGATTCTCTGTCTGAGTTTCTACTAAAAAGCATAAAGTCAAGATAATGTAGGTTTTTTGGCAGGGAGCTGGAGACTCGGAGTGCTGTAAGATTTATACTACAATTGTAAAGATCACTCACTGAGTAAATTCTCCTACCACAGTTTATGATGGCTTTATGAGGTATAATCAGGATAGCAAATGTTTGAGCTTTGCCTACTGATACTCCTTCAGTCAACAGCAGGAAGGAATAAATAAATGGTTCAGATGTCTTTGAACTTGGGGACCCACTTCTTGCCTGACAGAAATCATTTTGTATCAAATGCTCAAGTGTGATGTGCTTCAAACTAATGAAGCTCAAAGTGGGTTTTTTTGGTAACTAGTTCTATGTGACATAGAGCAAACTAAAATAATACACTAAAGTAAGTGAAGATGTTAATGAGAAAAGAGATTCCGTCAATGGAGAAAGTGCCTAGTTTGTGCAAGTACTCTCTATTCAGTTCTCAGTTGATGAGCAGGTCAGTTAGAAACCATCTACAGAGGAACTCTGGGTAGAGGCAGGTTTCTGGGCAGGAGGTGTTAGTGGGCTTTCATTTTCAGAAGGGAGAGCAGGCAAGAAGAGAGAATGACACTCATGTTTTCAAGCTTCCCCATGATGTTTCAGATAGAAGCAGAATTCTCAACTAAGATGTGAAATGATCTGCATTTCAAATCACTAACCCATTGTAAAGTGGTGCAAGATGCCTGTAATGATGTCATGAGAACTGACACTGAAGAAACGAGATGGGCAGTCATGACCCTCCTGTAAACTCACTCACTCACTCACTCACTCATTCATTCATTCATTCATTCCATGCATACTAACCATGCATATTGATCAACTTCCCACTAGTACAAGACACTATAAAAATGTCATGAAGAAATTGAGATACAGGTGGACCCGTTGCAACAATGAGAAGTACAAGTTGTCATGTCGAAAACGAACTTTACAACTTTGGTGGGGGGGAGGATTGGGTGGGGGGAGAGGCTGGGAAGGGATGGGAAAGGTAAACAAAGGAGGAGGCTACAATGCTTGATAAGAAATGTACTCATTATCTTGCCCAAGTAATTGTAACCCCTCTGTACAGTATGTTCACAATAAAAAATAAAAAAAAAAGAAATTTAGGACAAGATTTGGGTCCTCAAGAATACAGAAAGAGGGCTGGGAAGGTGGCTCAGTTGTAGAGTGCTTGCCTTGCATGCCTGAGGCCCTGGATTCAATTCCTCAGCACCACATAAGCAAAAAGAAAAAAAGCCAGAAGTGGCACTGTGGCTCAAGTGGTAGAGCACTAGCCTTGAGCTGAAGAGCTGAGGGACAGCGCCCAGGCCCAAAGTTCAGGCCCCATGACCGGACCCAAAAAAAAAAGAATACAGAAAGAGGGAGACAGGCAAGAAGACTTAAATTCCAGAGGAATTTAATATGAAGATAGAACCAGACTACTAAAAACAAAAAAATCAGAGGCTGAAGTGAACAACTGTGACAGCTAGAAAGGTGTATGCATTCTCTCTCTCTCTGTCTCTCTCTCTGTCTCTCTCTCTGTCTCTCTCTCTGTCTCTCTCTCTCACACACACACAGGTAACAAAACTTCAGACAGAAGAATAAGTACAAGTGCACCGGATGGGATCTACAGATGTGACAGGAAAACAGAAGGCATGGTGAAGGACATCTTGTATAAAGGCATGGACTTGTCAAAGAGCTGGTAAGTTCAGAGCACATGGCAAAAGCTGTGTAGAACTGAAGACAGACATGGCTGAAGTGGCAATGTAGGGTGCAA